TGTATATAAGATATTAAGATAATTATATATAGTATAAAATATGGTATCAATTATTTGATTCTAAAAATAATGGATCTGTATTAACTATTAAGTTTTTTTAAAGAAGCAAAATCAGATCAATTATATTGCAATAACGTTTTGAATACAATGGAAAATGAAGATATATATTAAGTTATTAACTGCTTAAAATAATAAAACTATATTAGATAATGAGGTAGGTTTTGCAAGATATGATGTAGGTACTCATGATTTGGTTGTTTAAATAACTTAATCATAACTATTTATTAATCATATTTATAAGTATTTATTATAATTTAATCATAATAACCATTTTTCAATGACTAGTTATAATTTAAATAATCAATTTTACATTTTTAAAAACAAGTTAAAACCGGTTATATATATAACTAGTTTTGAAATAATTTTTTTTTAAAAATTTTATAATATTATGTTTATAATTGGTGTGTATAAAAAAATATTTATTTAAAATATTAATTTCTTAAATGAATCTCAATATCATGAAAGATTAACTTTTAATTTTTGACTAAAGGTTACTTTGGTTTATCAAATAAAATATGTTAGTAACTTTTTAATGATGTTGTGTTGTACCATCTAGAAGAAATTATATTATTCTTATATGAATTTATGCATTCATCGTTTCAAAAAAATGTGTTTGGAATACATCTATCATTTTAAAAAACTTAAAATTTCCTTATTTGCATACATTTTTTTAGAACACTCAATACGACTAAATCATATTTTGGTTTATAAAAAAAATGTTAATAACTTTTTAATGGTGTTGTTTTGTACCATTCACATTGAAGTAATTACATTATTGTAGGAATTTATGCAGACATGTTTTAATTTTTTTTTTAAAATAGTGTCTTCAAAATTCATCCGTCATTTAAAAAAAAAATTAAAATTTTCTTATTTCAACACATTTTCTAGAACACTCAATTCATATGGTTAAAAGTGTGTATTAGAATAACTAGAGGTGTTAAAAATGAAAACGACTAGCCAAAAATAATTCCAAAAATTAGCAGTCAATTTATATATATATATATATATATAGTGGGAGAGAGAAGGGGTGAGAAAATCTATTTACTTTAAGAGAAAGTTTATCTCTACTTAATAACTTATTTTTTACATCAAACTTTAACGATACAACTGTTAAATTTGTGACATCCTTACTACCCCAACACATATATTGTATAAATAAACTAAGGAAATAAATTTTCCAACGTCGGTAAAAGGGTTCACATAAAAACCTTTAGAAACATTCTTCAATATCCAAAATATTTTGAAAAGGAAACTTAGAAAATAAAATATAAGAGGTTACAAAATGTTTTCAAAATAATAAGTACAACTCCATTTACAAATAAAGTTCATGTCCTAGAAGTCCTCTGCCCCGATGTCACAATATCAGAGCATACCCACAACTCAACTGTTGACATTCTAGATGTCACTCATAGCCAGATCTTCCTCACCTAAAACATTCACAAATTATACGGTGAGAAAAGAAAACATCTATATGTAAAGCACACAAGGAAAAACGCAACATATCATCTCATTATAAAATATTCATAAACATTTCAATATATCATAACTCTATCAATCATGCATCATCATCACATCACAATTTGCAATCACACCAATCTTCACAAATCTTACAATCACAATCATCACAAATCTTACTATGTCAAGGTCACGCTACCCTTCAACCTAGGGTCGTGCTCATCCTTGACATCACATTGTTTCAAGGTCACGCTACCCTTTTAGTAGCCTAGGGTCGTGCTCACCCCTGACATAACACTGTACCAAGGTCACACTACCCTTTTAACAGTTTAGGGTCGTGCTCACCCCTGGTCATCAGTATGAGGAACCACAATCACATCACAATCACAATCACAATGACACCAATCCATCACAAATCTTACAATTAACCCTATGCCAAGGTCACGCCTATAGAATCTCTTGCTCGAGGTCGTGCCACCCCCGACATAAGCATTAATTGCCTCACACATCTCACCCTATGTCAAGGTCACGCCTGTAACATCTCTTGCCCAAGGTCGTGCCACCCCCGACATAAGCATGTGCCAAGGTCACACCTGCAACATCTCTTGCTCGAGGTCGTGCCACCCCCGGCATAAGCATGAGGAATCATCCATCCCATACTATGTCAAAGTCACGTCTGTAGCATTTCTTACCTAAGGTCGTGCCACCCCTGGTCACAAGTGTGAGGAACCACAATCACATTCACATCCACATCCACATCTCAATTCCACAATACACACATAATCCACACAAAATAGTGGTTCACATACCCCTCAAGGAATTCACCATGAATCCTCATCCTCATCTAGATCATCAAATTTACCAAATCATGTAATAATAATATTTATCATCAATTTTACCAAATCATGTAATAATAATATTTATAAATTAATATAAAATCATATTAAATCACCAATTTAATATAATCTTAACCCAAACAATAAATCCCCAAATTTTTTCAAAACCTAACTCACAGGCACTTTTCTAAGATTTTGTTCTCTCTCCCAGATCATCATTTGTACAAACTAATCATATATTCATAATCCTTAACACATACAGAATCATATAAAATCAATAATTCTCCAAACAGAAATAATTATAAAATTACTCATAATCCTAAGGACTCTTCCTCTACCTAATTCTATCATGTAACTCTACATATAAATAATCCCCTTTTCTTCCGTACCTGGATAAACAGTGGCTAAAACTAAGGATCTAGTTGATCTCCTTCGCTGGGTTCCCCTCGGTCTTCAGAGAGTGCAGAAGAAGAGAAGAGAGAAAAGAAGAAAAGAACTCAGAAAATGAGAGGTGTGCTTTTTGGGATTGGTAGAGTGCTCTATTTATAGGCATCAGGCTTCGCCAGAACAGCCCGTTCCAAATCCGGAATGGCTCGTTTTGGACCCTTAACTCACGACTAAAAATCACATCCAGAACGGCCCGTTCTGGAGTGCATTTAATACTCACAACGGTCATATTTTGAAACGGTTCGTTCTCAATTCTGGAACGATCCGTTCTCAATTCTGGAACGATCCGTTCTCAATTTGGGAACGCCCCGTTCCAATTTGGGAACGCTCCGTTCCACTCTAAAATTTGTAGATAATTTTTGTATTTTGGAACGGCCCGTTCCAATTCTGAAATGGCTCATTCCGGGTTACCAAAAGTAGGTCTATTTAGTAATTCGGAACGGCCCGTTCCGGCCTACTAAACCACCTTAATTGGGCTCTTGGCCTAGTGAAAATTAGGTTGTTACAAAATTAAAAAAATTTAATAAATAGATCAAATCTACACATTTAAAAAAAAAAAATCACAACATTAATAATAAGCATCCGATTCTTTTATTTTTCTCTCTCTTCATCATGAGTTTATCTCAAATTTTATAGAAGGGCTAGTGTTTTGAGATGGAGCAAACAGAAAAATAAGGGATAGTTAATTTTGTTTGAAAGATTTTTTAATTTAAAATAGTTTTATGGTGAAAAAAATTTTCATCAAATTATCCAACAAATATTGGTCATGAAAAAAATAATTTTGTTTGATTTTTTATTTTTATTTTCATAAACCACACAGTTTATTGGGAAATTTCCAATACAGTTTTATTAGGTTTGTGGTTTGAAAATGTGAAACCAACCCAAACTAAACTATCACAAGTTATATGTAAGTATGTTTTGTGTTGAATGCACATTAACAAGTAATTTAATTAATATGTACTAACAAGTAAAATTATATTTTTGTAATACTTTTTTTTTAATTTCAATATTCGGCATGTTATAGTTATACTAAGTTTTGACCATTTATATTGTAATTATTCATTTTTTAAATTTAGTGCATGCAAAACAGAAGTGAACGTTACAAATAAAATAACCTTATCAACAAAATACTAGCAGTGCTATAAGATTAGAAGCACATATTGAACTAATAATTTTTTATATATATTTTTTAATATTTAATAACATTTAAAATCTTAAAAGCAGAATCAAACCAAATCACACAAAATTATTTATCTTATTTTAGATTTCATAATACATTTAAATTGAATCAAATCCCACCATATTTAATTTTCTTATTTAGTTCGAATAATTTTAAACCAAAAACTCAGTAATACAACAATTTGAACACTCTTAAGTAGATGCTCAGTAACACATATAGCGTTGGAAAAAAAAAACTACTTCTTCCTTTTTTTATATAAAAAAATTAATTTTTACATTATTTTTAAAATATATATGATCCAACTTTTAAAAAAAATCATAAATAAGTAAGTCAAATACTACCTAATTGTAGTGAGAATAATGCATAAAACTTTCTATTCAATCATCTATGACATAATAATTCAAGAATATGTAAAAAAAAAAAAAAAAAATCCTGCAAATAAGAGAAAAGACAACTCCATAGTATTAATACGAAATATTTATCATAAGAAATATTAACCGATCTTTGAAGAGAATATAAACAACATACACAATACAAGTATTTATCTTTGAACATCATTTATTTTATATCGATTATGAAAATCTTAATTAAAATACATAAGCTAATACCACTTATTAGTTGCTAAAATATGGCGATGATGATGGATAAGAAATTTGACTTCAGAGCCTGTACCAAATAAAACCTTTAATAGTGGCTGCTATTAATTATTGAAGGTGGCCAAACTGCTATCTTAAGTGACAAACAAAAAATATTTGATAAATATTTGATGAAATACTTTAAGAGGGAAAGACACAGACAAAAAATAAAATAAGTTTTTTTTATAAATTAAATTAGTTTATGTATAGATTAATTTATAAAAATAATTATATTAATTTTTCAAAAAAAAATTTAATTTTGCTTCAAAAAATTAATTTATGTATAAATTAGTTTTTTTTTTTTGTCTCCTAAAAATATTTTTGGAGAATTTTATCTAAACAAACTCTTAATTGTATTTTAAAAATAAAAAATATTTTATGAACATAGAAATCAAATACACTCTGTTCTTGCTTTTTTTTATTTCATTTTATGAAATTTAGTATACATGCTATTATTAGCCTGAAAGCTTACAAGTATTGGGGTAAAAGTGTTGTGCTCTCGTCAAGATATTTGACAATCCTAAAAAATATCAGGATAGGTTCAGTGGAAGACATGGAAAGTGTATTCGTACATTACTAAGTGGCTATGCTATCTTTATGCAGACAAGGACTAAATTGGAGCATAAGAACGAATAAACAGCATCTTTCATATTGAAAGATATTTTTGGCAAACAAATGAACATTATGTTCTTGTCGTGACAAAAACAGAAGACAAATGACTCTTCAATTCATATCAAAGATGACAAAATGGCCAACCCTTTTCTCTGTTCTTTCCCTTTATGTTTCATGGTGTACAAATGTGTCTATACATATAATTTCGCAAGACTATGACCCACATGAACATGATCAAAATTGAATATTGGGGTCCAGCCTAATGAATCTAGTCAAAATTTTATGAATCCTTCACTTTATTGTATGAACAAAGTTTCTCTATACAAATATTTTGGAGGAAATTAACATTATGAGGAACTTGGCTCGTCAAAGCTTGAAGTAATGTCAGACTTTGGATCAGTTACAAAAGAGGGATCCCATTTTTCCCACTCCATAACCTCCCTTCCATATCTGAGAGCTTCATCAATGGTATCACGTTCCAACCCATTAACCAGTGAAACAAAGAGAATTCGGCTAGTGAGAGAAAAGAACAATCTCTTAAACTTGACAGCAATGTATTGAAAAGCAGATTGAGCTAATGAAGGGTTATTGTTATTGTTACTACTACTGCTGCATCCTCTCTTGTGATTGAAACTAATAAATGGATGGAAGTCACTAAACCATTCACATTGTGTTAGAGGAATGTGTTCAATCTTTTCCTCGAGCAGATCAAATTTGGTCAGTACCAAAAGAAACTTTTTGTTTTTGAAGGTTGGATGAGCAATGATGTTTTCAAAGAGAGATTTAGCTACCAGCATTTTGTTGGTAGAAACTCCTTTACTGTCTGTGGTGTACTCATTATAGTCAGATAAGGCAACCGAGAAGATTACAACATCAGTGTCTTCAAACATCTCCAACCACTTGCACTTTTCTCCAAGACTCGTAGGATGTACTCTGATCAGTTGGTATCTATAATTGGAACAAAAAGTGGAGCAAGAAAGCTGTTAATAACAATGAGTAGAAACCCAGCATAGCTAAAAATGTTTGCATCAATATCGAATAATTGGTCACAAGTGCTGTTTACTTTAGTTCTTGACATTATAAAAGCATCATTTTAGTCTTGAATTTGCAAAATGTCATTCACTTTAATCTCTTTTTAACTGCAATTGTTTGTTAAATTGAATGACATTTTGCAAAATTAGGGAATAAATGATAGTTTTAGACTAAGAGAGCTATTGATTAATGCTTGCAATCTCAGGACCAATGTGGAGGTTTACTCCAAATTAAAATATTTCAGGATTCATCTGTTTTTGCAGTTATGAAAATAGATCAAAGTGAAATAGCACTCGACACTAATTATTTATTGAAACAAACCAACTCAAATCTACACACATCCTTACTCATACTGTGTTATCATGTCATTGTTAAGCCTTTTATATTGATAATGGAGAAAAATGGTGACAATTGAAAATTTGTGCATTTGTAAGTGATCTATGACAAAACATGCATGCACACCACTCTTGCCAAATTGCTTCATTTTCAGGTGTCTAACTCATCAATTTGAAACAAAACTTTCAGACATCACCCAGAAACTGAACATACTAGTGAGTAGATGCTCATTGATGTAATCTTTATTCTGAAGTAACAGGTTCTTGTGTAAAGAACTGAATGAAATGACAAAGCTAACCTGAGAGAAGACTCATGTTGATACTCAGGATACAAAGACTCCTCACTGCCTGACTTGGGAAAACAAAATTCCATTGAAGCAAGGCTGTTGGTTAACGATATCCCCTCAGCGTACAAGATGTCCATATCAGATGGTTCATAGTCTATCTTGGAAATTTCAACAGCCTGCATCCAGAGAAATTATTAGACTTTGATGAAAAACTAGTGTTCATTGATGTGTGTTGGAATTCAAGAAAAATTAGAAGGCTTAAACTCATATATTTTATTCATACTTGCAACCTTTAAATACACAATTGAAAGTTGATACAAATTCTGCTCATAAACATAAAACTAAATGACAAATGTAAATACTCATAAAAGTGTAACAGCACTTATAATTCCTATAATTAAAATTCATAACCGTAGGAATTCTAATAATGTTCCATTAATCTGAAATAAACTCAAATAATAGATGCTGATTTAGATTCTCAACACTCCTCCTTGTATTAGTAGCTATTAACTTCAAGTTTCCCTCTCAAGTTCTCAAACTTTCCTTTTGGAACTGCCTTTGTGAAGATGTCTGCCAATTGATCTTTTGTTATTCAATCTAACTCCTCCTCCTGTCTTTGAATACCATTTGTTGGAATTTGTCATATCAAATACATCTTGCATAAAAGTGTGACCAAATCTTCCATGCCAAACATTACTCTTATCAATTTTAGCAGTAAAATCATGATCTTCAATCAAATCAAATTTCAAATAAAAATCGTTTTTGGTCATCTCAATCTTTGCAATCTCTAAACCATGTTCATCCATGATAAAACAATAATTCTCTTTAAAAGAGACTCCATAACCACTCCTTAGCATTTGTGGAACACTAAGAACATTTTGATCCAATTTTGGAATGTAGAGAACATCTTTAACAATTATCATACCTTTCTTGGTTGCAATAGAAATTGTACCTTTTCCATTGGCTTGTACAATTTCACCATTTCCCATCTTGACTTTTGGCTTAATTGATTTGTCAATGGAGGTAAAAAATGATAAATATTTAGTCATGTGACTAGTGCAACCACTGTCAATGAGCCAAGTATTCAATTCATGTGAATTGAATTCTTGAGATGCCATAAATAAATACTCATCTTCATCATCATTTTTTTCTTCAACCACATTTGCCTGTTTTTCTAGTTGTTGTTCAGGCTGATTCTTCTTTAATCTGCAATACTTTTCACTGTGACCATTTTTATTGCAAAAATTACAGTGAAAAAGTGGTTTATCTTTAAACCAACAATCTTCTTTAGAATGGTTGGTTCTTTGACAATGAAAACAAGGCAAAAAATTTCCTTTTCTCGAAGAACCTTCATCTTTTCCTTTGTTCTTATTGAAAGTTCGTGACTTTCCAAAATTCCTTCCATTGTGCTTTGCTCGAAAGGCACCTTCAACAGCTTCATCACTTCTAATGGAGACTCTTTGCTCTTGTGCGTGAAGCTTGCTGGTCAATTCAATAATTGTGAGAGTTTGCAAATCACAAGACTCTTCAATTGCAGAAATCTTGGCTTCAAATCTTTCAGGCACCGAAACCATGATTTTCTCGACAATCTTTTGATCTGTAAATGATGTTTCACCAAGAATTCGCATTTGGTTCACAACATCCATTAATCTGCCAGAATAACAGATTTGACTCTGCTACTGCCTTCAAATTCATCTTGAATCTTGTCCCACACCTGTTTAGGTGTTTCCAAATCCATGATTTTAGTAAAAATATGATCTGCAAGTCCTGCATGTAGACAAGTGATGGCTTTATCTTTCTTCAACTTCTCCTCCTCATAAGTTTTGATTTGTACAATGGTTGGATTTTCTCTCAATGGTGGTGGATCAGCTTCAGAAATTACAACATTCCATAAACCTTGAGATCTTAAAACAAATTTCATCTTGACGGCCCAAATATGATAATTTTCACCATTAAACATTGGAATTGCAAGTGAATTGGTGGAAGTAGACATCCTTGCACCAAAAGTTGTTTAAACAATAAATCACTCAATTTAGTGTTTGCACTCAACCTCAATGTGTTTGGCGCTCAATAAACTTTTCCTCACAGCCCGTAAGAAGCAAGCTCTTGATACCAATTATTGGAATTCAAGAAAAATTAGAAGGCTTAAACTCATATATTTTATTCATACTTGTAAACTTTAAATACACAATTGAAAGCTGATACAAATTCTGCTCATAAACATAAAACTAAATAACAAATGTAAATACTCATAAAAGTGTAACAGCACCAATAATTAAAATTCATAACCGTAGGAATTCTAATAATGCTCCATTAATCTGAAATAAACTCAAATAATAGATGCTGATTCAGATTCTCAACAATGTGATGCACCTACCACATTGATAGCCAAATAATTTAACAATCTAAAGGATTTAGACATTTATTATTGAGTTGAGACAATAAATTGTTCATCAGATGTAATGTTGCAAGAGCACTAATACATGGATAAAGCTTCATTCAAATTCTATGTTTATAAATTTATTGTCTAATTTCTGCCTCTGATTATGTGACAAATAGTCAATGATCCAAACTCCATGCTGAAATAGGTAGGAATAGAGGATACGGAAACAAAGTAGGTGGGAATAGAGGATACGGAAACAAAGTAATGATTGAACAAACTCAATAATCATATTGGCTTCATTAATATTAAAAAGTGATCATGAATGATTTGGATAATCATGTGATGATGAGCAGATGGACAAGCATGTATTAACTTACACGGTCCAGAAAATAGTTTGCACTTCTAGGTAGCAATTTAAGTTCATTTCGCCTGTCATATGTCGCCTGAATGGCTTTATCCCTCCACAAATCCTCCACCAGTGCCCCATATTCACGTGTAGCAGCTGGAAATATTGCATCCAGGTTACCAGACACCATGCATTTTAGTAGCCAATCTGAGAAAGCTTTCAGTTGCGGACCAATGGAATAGGTTGTTGTTTCAACATCATCACTGCAGATATTCCCTGCTGCAAGTGCAAACTAAAATTAATGACTTCTCTCCACAACACATTTCTCCAACTAATGGCAGACAAGCTTCTTCTATCAGCTAACTAACAAGTGTCAACCATCTTTTAGGACATTTGTGAAAAGAATACGCACCAAGCACAAAACTGAAGGTAAAAGGATTTCTATTACAGTTGAAATCACATTACACAGAGGCCCTCAACCCTCAACAAAATCAAGAAAATAATGAAATAATCTGAAGCATTAGTCCTCTACTGATAAGAAACCACATAAACTGCATAGTTTACAAAAAGGAAAAGTATGCATCTTTTGCAATTTGTAAGGGACTAAACAAACATAGATCGATCTTTTTTAGTTGATAAAAAGAGGATATAATATAAAAGTTGATAATACTCCTTCTCATGTTTTCAACATTGTTAAAGGAAGATTCTATGGAAGACAACTTCCTTTGCAGTCTACACTAACCAGAAAATTTAAAAAAGGAAAAATGTTCAAAAAATTGTTATCCCCCTACTTCATCCAAAGTCCAAATAGAAATAGCTTCCTGGTTAACCTTTTATACAAGGAAAAAAACAATTACCTGATGAAGATGATTCATCAACATGACATCTTTTCCTATTCTCCAACAAACTCTCTTCTTCAAAATTTGCACGCCCCTCCAGCAGTATACCAAGGTAGGTAAACAGGTTGCTTTGGATCACCAACTTAATATTTTGGAGCTCATTTTCAGAGAAAGGAACATTGTACAGAAGCTTGGCCTAAGATAAAAGATTCAAGGTTTTAGTTAAAAGCACAAAGAATTATTTTGAACTGCAGTCAGATACACACCAGAAAAGAAAAGTAAACTCCAAATTTTGACAAATTCCAATTTATGTAATACAGATTAACAACTCAAAACTTTTCATTGAACCTCATGACAACTAGAAATATGACTGATAAAAATCCACAACTTACGCTGTTATGACCCTAACATTGACATTACACACATAAATTGATCATTTCTACTTTCTAGAAGATACTATATAGAACAGGACAACTTTAAAGAAAATAGTAGGCATGGACCTTATAAATTGTTAGTGCATTTCACTGTAAGCAAAAAAGTCAAAACTAATAATATTTATTGTCTGTCTGGTAACTCCATATTTAGTTCTACTATATCCAACTCCATACTGATAGGACAAAGCATAACCATTATTATGAGACTAAAAGTAAATTCAGGAGCTGAAAAATGAATCAGGCTATCCTTCATGCCTTCAGCATTTAAAATCACAGGACTATCATTTAATTGACTGGCATCACATGTACTTTGCCAGTTCATTAAGCATGCTTGCGTATGAATTTAAGGATACAACATAAAGTGCATAAAAATAAAAAAGAAGAGTTCTGTCAAAGGAGTAACCTACCTGTTTAAATATAGTACATGCACCAGAATTGACAGAGCCAACAAGTAGAAATTTGTGAAGTATATTCTGACTAAGGCTCTCTTTATTAGCTGTTTCACTTTCATACGCAAGAGCTACAGACTTTGAAGGAACTGGCAATGACAGAATTACAGAAGCAAACCTTGCTTGCCACTGCAAAAGGGAAATCCAGAACTGTTAATGAGCTGTTATTATTACTATAAAAGCCAAACAAGGAAAGGAAACATGAATCTCAACAATGATCACCTTGTCCCATATACGCCCTCTATCATTCTTCTGTCCCTCTTCCCTGTATGATCCATCATAATTCAGCCAAAAGTTAGGTGTTCCTTCGCACGGCACTCCAGCCAACTGCAACAATCAATGTTATGTAACATTTTGGTTTAACAATCTCAAAAAATATATACACACATAACATAATAAAAAAACTATTAGTGTCCTAGACAACCACCTTCAGTATAAATCTTTCTTTATTCGTAACCTCACGATCATTTATAGTAACTTTGGTGTTTCCATTGCTTGCATGTCTGTGCAAGCGACCCCCAACATCCAGCTGGGGGCTGATAATCTCACTAGGCGGTTGACCTTCCTGTATAATCAATATTCAAGCAATACAACAGATTAGAACTTCACTTGAAAAAACATCAAATGGAGGTGAAAGATTCATGAATTAAATTTTGTAAGAAATGAATTCACATTGAAGGCACATTCCTCGAGTTTAAGTGCCTTTCTTCAACGCAAACTAAACTAATCCTAGGGATATGTCCAGAAAAAGGTTGATAAGCTCTTTAAGCTTCTTCATGAACCATATCAAAATAACCGCATTTTAGCTTATTCCAAAAGTTTTATGGTCAAATTTATGGCAGAACCATTCACATAATATTAAGAGCTTAACTAAGTTTTTTTAGCCAAACACACCCTAAAAAGATGATTAATTAAGTAAAACTAAGTAGTTGTTGAGGTTAAGTTTTCACCTTTCCCCAAAATCCAGAAGCTTTATCATACCAATAGGATCCTGGTTTGAGTTGTTTTGGTGGGTTTGGAGAGTAGAGGAGCAACAAAAGCTGTTCCCTATTCAGGGGTTGCAAGTTGACACAAACAAGCTCTGGAGGTATTTGATTTGCCTCACAAGACCTTTCATCACGCATGACTTGAGACACAATCAACTCAGACAGCAACTGTTTCATCATCCGAGAAGACTTCCCCAGCTTCCTCCTCTTGCTCTCATCAATTCTGTAACCAATACAAGTCACACATTTTCTTCCCTGAGGCATTGACCCCATGGCCTTCACCACACAGCTGCGGCAATACTTTGCCCTACAAACAATGCAAACCTCCTTCTGGGTGAACCTGTTCCCCTTCAGGCACTTATAGCAGGAACCCTTCTTCCCAGGCCTCACAGCACGTGCTGGTGTCATCACAGGAACGCTCTCAAACCGAGAATCACCAAGCTCATCACTATCTGTCTCCATCGTGAAGTTTGACTCGGGATCACAGAATGTCACAGAAACACGTTTCGCATGTTTCGGAGTTGGAGTTTGCTCATCCTCTCTGAATGAAGAAATCTCATCAGAAGAAGCAAAAAGAGAGGTTGAGCCTGAACCTGAACCTGGACCTGATTCTGTTGTGTCAGAAGTTGTTGGCAGAAATATTCCATCTCTAACATTAGGTACTTTCAAAGTGTCTCGATTCTCGTGTATTTCGTCACCAATACCATCACATGGTAATGGTAATGATTTGATTGTACAAGAATCTAAACATAAGGTGTTTGAACTCTCGCCATTAACACTATCCTGTAGAGATGGTGATTTAATTACACGAGAGTTCAAACATGAAGGGATAGCAGAATCTGTTATCCTTTTGTTGTGGATTTTGCCAAGAGGTTGGATAACGGGGAGTGAGAAGTCATCATGAGAGAGAGGAGCAATGGTTGCTACTGGGATTTGGTCAATCTTAAAAGCAGGGATTTCAGGAATGGAGCAACTGAGAGGAGGGCCAGTGTAGACTACAGCAAGGGAGTACTCATAGCTGCTTATGCTGTCTTCAGTTTCCACAGCAACATGAGGAACAGAAGGCCTTAGTTTTCTCAAAAGAGAAGCCATTTCATGCACTCCAAATTGAAGCCAAACCCAAAATAAAACAGCATATACCACTCAACAATTCATCTCAAGAGAACCCCATGAAGGAAAAACATGGAAACAAAGCATCTGAACCTGGCTACAAGGTGGGAGCTATCTTGGAAGAGAGAGAGAGAGAGAGAGAGAGAATTGTGGTGTGAGAGAAGAGAAGAGAAAAACGAAGCAAAAGTTGGAAGAAAAGAGAATGGTGGAGTTGAAAAGAAGGAGGAGTGAGAAGTAAACAAGGTTGACCGAAGTGGAAAGAG